ACGGAAAGCTTGTCAATGTCATTTAAACCCCCACGAGATGCTGGCAGTAGCTGATCACTGCCACACACGTCACATCATGTTGCCAATACAGCTGATAGAGGCTCATTTACATCCAATCATTTAGCAGATGCTTTTCTCCAAAGCGACTTACAAATGAGGACAATAGAAGCAATCAGACCAACAATAGAGCAGCGATACGCAAGTGCAGCGACAACACTCTGGGGAAAAAATGCAAGGTACCAGAATTGCCAAAAGGACACGTTTCGATTCCATAAAGAATCTTTCAGAGAAGTGCGAAGAACATCTGAATAACCCAAAGAATATAGTGTTTACACTATAAAGGATCATTTTGTGAAATAGAAAGGTTCCATAGATAATAAATATTCCAATAGAAACAATTATGTAACTGTTTAACAGCTGGTTATCCCACAAAGCAAATGTTTTCTGGCCCAGCTCCGGGCCACATATTACCTTTTCCATCAGTCCAAGTACCGTAAAGAATAACAGTTCTGAAGTGGCCCATAACTGGATTAAAGACCCGGGCCACACATGGGCCATAACAAACCCGAATCTCATCCAATTTATCACCCTTAACTGGCTCTGAACTGGGCCAAACCAGGTTTATTATTGGTACTGATTCTCACCTATAAGTTAACCAGATCAACACCACCCTTTCACCAGAAATCCCAAAAAATGAGCCATAACCCAGCCTAATGTTACCTAAATGTGAACAATCACTACACTGATCTGGGCCACACACCTCCTATCCACAACTAGCCCAAATGTGGTTTGCAGTCATGCATGCAGTGCCATCATTGCCATGCATGGCCCACATTCGGCTGACGTTAAGCATGCCAGTGCCGGCAACACACCAACAGTGCCATAATGAGGCCACATTTGGGCCAAGTCCGTTTGCCATGTGGGATGGTACATGTCATACTGCAATATCCAAATAAAGGATGAATTGCTGATTATCACCTCATTTAAGTTCTGCACCTATAACCGGCTAGGTCCGTTGGCATTTCTGTGTGGAGTTTGCATGTTCTTCCCGTGTTGGCGTGGGTTTCCTTCGGGTGCTCCGGTTTCCCCTATAGTCCTAAGACATGCGCTTATACAGTAGGTGAATTGGATACAAGAAATTGGCAGTAGAATTTGTGTGCATGTGAGAGTGTATAAGTGTTTCCCAGTAATGGGTTGCAGCTGGAAGGGCATCAGCTGTGTAAAACATATGCTGAATACAGTAGGTTGCCGGTTCATCCCGCTGTGGTGATCCCTGATCAATAAAGGGACTAAGCCGAAGAAAGATGAATGAATGGATGTCTATCAATACAATCGCATGGTATAAATAAGCACCACATGCTGAACTCATACAACATTTATTGCATTTAAAAGACTTTGCAATGTGTAAACATTGATTGCATAGATTCACAGAAGTATCATCAGCAAATTCAGAGACATTCATGAATTATTCACAAAAACATCCGCTCTTAACTTCATAAATTGATTTTAAAATATCATTTTGGGAGGAAAAAGACCTATTAGGAAATGATTTTAAATTGCACATAGTTTAAAAAAGAGCTTGAGATGCGATCAAAATATATAAACAATCTTCTTAAGAGCAGCAGAGTTCAGCTTTGTCACCGGGAGAATGAAACATGAATCTTAAACCTGAACAAACATGCGTGTCTTGCATATTTTCTGTCAAGGTTGATTAAAAAACTATACAAACATGAGACATGAACATTTGAACTCTTTTAGTGTTTATATTGTTTATAAACACTATATACAGTCAGGTCCATAAATATTTGGACATCGGCACAATTCTAACATTTTTGGCTCTATACACCAACACCATCGATTTAAAACGAACAAGATGTGCTTTAACTGCAGACTGGCAGATTTAATTTGAGGGTATTTACATCCAAATCTGGTGAACGCTGTAGCGATTACAACAGTTTGCATATGTGCCTCCCACTTGTTGAGGGTCCAAAAGTAATTGGACAATTGGCTTCTAAGCATTTCCATGGCCAGATGTGTGTTATTCCCTCATTATTCCAATCACAATGAGCAGATAAAAGATCTAGAGTTCATGTCAAGTGAGCTATTTGCATTTAGAATCTGTTGCTGTCAACTCTCAAAATGAGATCCAAAGAGCGGTCACTATCAGTCAAGCTAGCCATCGTTAGGCAGAAAAAAACAAAACAAACCCATCAGAGAGATAGCAAAAACATCAGGAGTGGCCAAAACAACTGTTTGGAACATTGTTAAAGAAAAAGAAACATTCCAGTGAACTCAACAACATTAATTGGTGGACAACCAAAGAATTCTTTCCCTGGTAAAGAAAACACTCTTCACAACAGTTGGCCAGATCAAGAACAATCTCCAGGAGGTACATTAGGTGTATGTGTGTCAGAGTCAACAATCAAGAGAAGGCTACTCCAGAGTGAATACAGAGGGTTCACCACAAGATGTAAACCAGTGGTCACCAAACCTGTTCCTGGAGGGCCGGTGTCCTGCAGATTTTAGCTCCAACCCTAATCAAACACACCTTAACAAGCTAATCAAGGTCTTACTTGGTAAACTTGAATCATCCAAGCTGGTGTGTTGAGGCAAGTTGGAGCTAAAAACCGCAGGGACACCGGCTCTCCAGGACCGAGATTGGTGACCCCTGATCTAAACCATTGGTTAGCCTCAAAAACAGGAAGGCCAGATTAGAGTTCTACAAAAGGCTTCACCATGCTGGAACAACATCCTATGGATGGATAAAACCAAGATCAACTTGTACTAGAGTGACGGGAATAGAAGCATATGGAGAAGGAAAGAAACTGCTCTTAATCCTAAGCAGTAAAGCAAGGTGGTAGTAGTGACATGGCGTGGGCATGTATGGCTGTCAATGAAACTGGTTCTCTTGTATTTATTGATGATGTGACTGCTCACAAAATCAGCAGGATGAATTCTGAAGTGTTTCAGGCAATATTTTCTGCTCATATTAAGCCAAATACTTCAGAACTCATTGAACGGAGCTTCACAGTGCAGATGGACAATGAGCCAAAGCATCCTGCAAAAGCAACCAAAGTTTTTGAAAGGAAAGAAGTAGAATGTTGTGCAATGGCCAAGTCAATCACCTGACCTGAATCTAACTGAGCTTACATTTCACTTGCTGAAAACAAAAGTGAAGGTAAAATCCCCCAAGAACAAGCAGGAACTGAAGAGCTGTAGAGGCCTGGCAGAGCACCACCAGGAATGAAACCCAGTGTCTGGTGATGTCTATGCGTTCCAGACTTTAGGCTGCAAAGGATTTGCAACCAAGTATTAAAAATTGAAAGTTTGATTTATGATTATTATTCTGTCCAATTACTTTTGGACCCTTAACAAGTGGGAGCACATATGCAAACTGTTGTAATTCCTACAGCGTTCACCTGATTTGGACGTAAATCCAATATTCCTGTGGTCTTCTGAGTCTTTTAGTGTTGTTGAGCTCAGTGGTGCGTTCTTTCTTCTTAAGAAGTTCCAAAACAGTTGTTTTGGCCACTCCTGATGTTTTTGCTATCTCTCTGATGGGTTTGTTTTGTTTTTTCAGCCTAACGATGACATGCTCGACTGATAGTGACAGCTCTTTGAATCTCATCTTGAGAGTTGACAGTAACAGATTCCAAATGCAAATAACACACTAGAAATGAACTCTAAATCTTTTATCTGCTCATTGTGATTGGGATAATGAGGCAATAACCAACACAATCTCACGGCAATTCATTACTTTTTGATTTAATGGCTAATTCGTATGAATTTGTACGATACAGTTGTTTATCCCCCAATGACGATTGGTTTTAGGGGTGGGGTCAGGTGCCACGCCTTCTTTTTAAAATCGTACAATTTCGTACGACTGAACTTCAACAAATTAGCCACTAAACTGAAAAAATGTAAAATACTTAAGCTTTTTCGTGAGATCAGGCTTGAATAACACACACCAGGCCATGGAACAGCTTAGAAGCCAACTGTTGGACCCTTAACAAGTGGGTGGCAAACATATGCAAACTGTTGTAATTCCTACAGCGTTCACCTGATTTTGATGTAAATACCTTCAATTTAAAGCTGACCGTCTGCAGTTAAAACACATCTTGATCATTTCAAATCCATTGTGTTGGTGTATAGAGCCAAAAATGTTAGAACTGTGTTGATGTCCGAAAATGTATGAACCCTAACTATAAATGGTGTTTATATTACTAATGTTGACCTATCATGATGCAAATCCAATAATGCACATTCAACAGAATATATTATATATTATTATTAAAATCAAATGTCCGAAAATATTACGAATATGATCTCTAAACCAATTTTATCAGATCAAAACTGAACGGCGTACAAAAATATCCTCTATGCAAGTGCTACATGAGTACAAAACATGTGCCGTTTTAGTCAATGTACTGCAAAAGTTTTTGCATGGCGTAGACGAGGAAAAAGTGCCTCATTTGCATGTACATTGCATACATTGTGCATATATATTAATAACACGACTGACACAAGAATAGTTAGCAGTTATATAGATCAACTGCTGTCTTTCCAGTGACATTTGGGTTAATTACCTCAATGGAAAATACACAATTGAAGTAAAACTAACAGATTGTGTCATGAAATATTATCTGAATGGCCAGATTTGAGTAAATAAAAGTACTAGATAGTGTTTTTAAAAGCAGCTGCTGTATGTTTTTGTACCATACAGTGTGACATTGTCAGCCTATTTTCAAAATACTATAAAAATACCTTAAAATGACAAAATATTAAACATTTTCGTTTACTAGGTGAACTCATGTAGCTTATGGTGAACAACTGTAGTGAAAATGTAGTGTAAAATATCTGCAAAGTCTTGTCAAAGTCATATGCAGCTATAAATGAAAACAAATGTTGAAATTGTCAGTTTTTAAAGGTAATTTGTGATTGTGTCATTGTGGTTGGATATTTACCCACATGAGCTTCACCTGCCCTGTATATCTGAATTCATCTGTAGTGTCTGTAATCATTTAAAACGGCTAAAACCACACTAATAATATTAAAACACACAACAAAAAAAGCAAATATTCTGCTTTCATGCAACTGTAGAAACCCGTTCATAACACCAGTCACAACAGATTACAGCTATTCTATCAGTGGTAAAACATTAAAATATAAAATAAATGTGTAAAACCGAAGCCCTTGGTACACAGGAACAGGTCTGAATTAAAATGATAAAGTCAATACTTAACAGTCAGTTTTACACAAACTGTAGACACTACAAACCACAACACTGCTATTAAGGGAAGTCACTTCCATCGTAGATGACGGGCTTCTCAATGGTCAGGTGGTAGTTGACCTTCTTGGAGAGAAATCTGTAGAAAAGACAAACAGTTTTTGTAATCACATCGTTCACTATAGGGTTGTCAAAAGTATCGATTTTCGGTACCAATCGGTATTGAAATTTTAAAAACATCTATTTCCCGTTAATATTTGAACACTGTTGAGTGCGTTCTTCTTCAGTGTTGTTTACCACGTGCAAACACGCATACACAAACAAGTGTGGTAAAACGAAGAACTTCTCAGCCAATCAGAGTAATTTCTGTTGAGGACACAATGGCCAATGAGTGGTGATTAATGAATGCACTAAACAACAATCAAATGTTAAAAAACATGATAAAATATATAAACAAATCTTCTTATGTCTAGTCTAACAGTTTAGTTCAGCTCTGTCAAACAAGAACCTTAAACCTGATCAAAAATCTGTGTCCTGCTCGTTTTCTTTCACAGTTGTTTAAAAAAAGACAATTATTTAAGCGCACATTTAACACTCTTAGGACTCGATCTTTAACGATCTAGACGCAAAGTCTAAAACATTAATGGCATGTTTAAATCAACTTTTGCTTTTTTTAAGAACAAAAAAATACTTATTCTCTTAATGAGTTATGAGTGTGTTTTGAGCATAACGTACATTCGAGAAAACAGAGAAAACAGTTAAACAGAGCATCTGCAGCGCGAAAAAGAGAGAATGAGCCTCCTCCATTCAGCCTCTATACTTTCTCTTTACTTTACTTTTACTCTTTACTCCTTTACTTTGGTGGATGAGGAAACGGTGTTGTACTCACTCCACTGAAGACATCCATTAGCCTACATATTTAATTTAGTTTGTTAAGTGTAAAGATTTGTTTCAAAACTATTTCTAAAATCAGTTCTAATGTCCAGCAAACAAAGAAATGAACAATATTATTGAAGTGTGGTCAAGTTATATCCAAACACACGTCCTACTCTTATGTCCCATACGATGATGCAGATGTCTCCAAAACAAGACAAGTCGACAAATCTCAGCTAGTTTTTATTAAAACAAATATAAATATGCATATAATAAATAATGAGCTACTAATAACAACATAAAACAAATTGTCATGAATAAACTGAAAAAAGCTCCCCGAGATGAGGCATGAGTGGTTTTTATGTTCATATAGAAAATTAATAATTTTTGTACCATTTTAGTCCTTTAATTGTTTTAACATGTAAAGATATTTGTGTATTGCTGTATATGCTGCATGTATTAAACAATGTGTATGTGTTTTGGACCTGCACAGGTGCATAACAACGCGCTCTGTGCTGGACTTTAGACCTGCTTTTATATGGTCAGTGGTGAGGTCTATTTCAGTTCTTCAAAATAGCAACACACCAATAATGTACTTCACCCCACCTCCATTTCAGACCCACACACTCTTACATTCACACACATACACTACGCCCAATTTAGCTTATTCAATTAACCTATACCACGTCGTTTTGGACTGTGAGGGAAACTGAAGCACCGGGAGGAAACCCTCGCGAACACGGAGAGAACATCCACACAGAAATGCCAACTGACCCAGCTGGGGCTTAAAGCAGTGACCTTCTTGCTGTGAGGCGTTCATGCTACCCACTGTGTCACCCTGCTGCCCATGTAATCATATTTTACATTTCTAATTTAAAAATGAGAAGAATCTGTATCAGATTCAGCCAACTTGTTTGTAACCATGAAACCATGACAATTCAAGCTTGTTGCATCTAAATAAACTGACATTTAACATAACATTTATGTAAAGTCTTAACAATAAGCACTGTGCTTGCCCAGAAAAAGCAGACAACAGAGACGTGACACGAAATACAGCCCATGTACATTATTCTCTGAGGTTTGTCAGAGACAGCAAAGCGTTCATCCGTAAACTGCTAATCTGACTTATCTGAAAACAGGAGTTCTGCTCCAGAGATGTTTAACTCAGTGAGGGAACTACCAGATCATTTTCTTGGGGATTTATAGGCATTATGTGTCATGTTTTATTAATCTTGTTTTATCAGAAGAGTGCACTTATGTGCTTTTCCTGGCTAACTCGCTGTGAACTGCAGTAGAGATTAATGAATGTGCAGTCATGCGCAAAGAGTTTAGAGTTTTGTTCCATAATACTCACTAAAATGTGGTTTATTTCTCCAAACCCTGTTATATAACCTCAGAACAAGAGGAATATATAGCATTTGTGCACTGAAAACTTTTTTTGAGTTACTTTCTTTCTTTTTTTATGTAAACTTTAGACATTGTGCTAATCTGATTTAATCGCATGCTAGCAGGAGATGTTTTTATATAGATATCTCTCTCTCTTTGTGGGCTGCTGAGTAAATAATGACAGAATTTTATGACGACAGAAATCACTTTCAATGATAAATCTGGAACTTTTAAATAAGCAGCGACTCAACAAATGCTTGATTTCATTAGTGTCTGATGTTGGCAGGTTGCTTAAAATATCAAAAATATAAATATTCATTAAATCATAAACATAAAACATTCAAGGACTGAACTCATTTTTATTTCTAACACGTCAGTATTACATTAAATAGGACTGGTGGTATTTCTCTTAACTTGTAGTTATCTTAGATCACTGTTTAACAATAATAAAATACAATCACCGGCCACTTTATTAGGTACACTTTTCCACCTGCTTATGAACGCAAATTTCTAATCAAATGGCAGCAACTCAATGCATTTAGGCATGTAGAACAACCATCTCTAGGGTTTATAGAGGACAATATAGGATTGGAAAAACCTTGCCTGGTCTGATGAGTTGATTTCTGCTGCCACATTTGGATGGTAGTGTTAGAATTTGGCATCAACAACATGAAAGCATGGATCCATCTTGTCTTGTATCAATAGTTCAGGCTGGTGGTGGTGGTGTAATGGTGTGGAGGATATTTTCTTGGCACACTTTGGGCCCTTTAGTAGCAATTGAGCATCGTGTCAACACCACAGCCTACCTGAGTATTGTTGCTGACCATGTCCATCCCTTTATGACCACAGTGTACCCATCTTCTGATGGCTACTTCAAGCAGGACAATGCGCCATGTCATAGAGCATGAATCATCTCAGACTGGTTTCTTGAACATGACAATGAGTTCACTGTACTCAAATGGCCTCCACAGTCACCAGATCTCAATCCAACAGAGCTTCACTGGGATGTGGTGGAACAGGAGATTCGTATTAAGAATGTGCAGCCGACAAATCTGCAGCAACTGTGTGATGCTATCATGTCAATATGGAGCAAACTCTCTGAGGAATATTTCCAGTACATTGTTGAATCTCTGCCATAAAGGATTAAGGCAGTTTTGAAGGCAAAAGGGGGTCCAACCCGGTACTAGTAAGGTGTACCTAATAAAGTGGCCAGTGTATGTATATTATCAGCATGTTACACTGAAAACTGAAGTAATGATTTTAATGAAGGAATAACTCATGTTTTGTGCCATGTTGTTTAAATAGTAAATCCATTTGCGCCACTTTGTGGACTTATGGGTGTTCTGGTCTATAAAGGAGGTGTGTAGGGCGCATTTTTGGCGCGTTGCTATTTTGAAGAACTGAAATAGACAGCGTCATTGACTAATTAAAAGCAGGTCTAAAGTCTAGAGCAGGGGTCTCAAACTCACGGCCCGCGGGCCATTTGCGGCCCTCAATGCAATATTTTGTGGCCCGCGCCGACCGCTGTACACTGACAGAATCAGCGGAGCGGGGAGAGAGAGTGCTCCCCGCTCCGCTGATTCTATCCGTACACATTCCCCGCCCGCCGTGTTGTTGCGCGCGTTCTGATCAGCTGTGTTGTCACGCGCGTACTTAAGAGCGGTGTTATCGCGCGCCTACTGAAGGACGGGAACGAGGGTGTGTCGCGTCGCGGGGGCACTTTTAATCATTTTGGAAGGGCACTTTCTATGCAAGACTAAAAAGGGCATGTGCTCTGCACAGGTTAAGCCCTATGTGTGCACGTGCCTGCCCTGCATCTTATATTATAGGTAGATACAGACTGGTACAGACTGATGTGACTGGAGTGGGGTGGGGGTGTTTTATTTATACATATATACGCCTTTTTTTAGGTGAGGGAATGGAAGTTTTGAGTGAGTTCCCCCACTTTTTTCCCTAGGACTTCAATAAGTCAAAGTACAGGTCTAGACTTAATGATGATCATCTTCAAGCCATACTGAGGGTCTCAACTGCTTCCGCTCTAAAGCCAAATGTGGTTCAGATTTGTGAGAAGAAGCGCTGTCAAGTCTCTGGCAGCAAGAAGTAGGCAAAAGATGCCATGTTCAGAAGAACTGTTCATAATCTTCACTCAATGTTCTATTAATGTTCAGGACACTTCATGTTCAGAAGGAATAATTAAAACTGTTAATAATGACATTTGAGGACTTTTTTTTTGTGAAATCCCTTATGCGGCCCAGCCTCACCCAGACTTTGCCTCCTGCGGCCCCCAGGTAAATTGAGTTTGAGACCCCTGGTCTAGAGTGTGTTAGTTATGCGCCTATGCAGTTCCAAACACATACACATTGCTTAATACACACAGCATATACAGCAACACCCAAATATCTTTACATATGAAAACAATTAAAGGATTAAAATGTTACAAAAATTATTATTCTCTACATAAATATAAAAACACTGCTCCATGCCTCATCTCGGGGAGCTTTTTTCAGTTTATTCATGACAATTTGCAATTGTACAATGTTATTATTATTAGCAGTTTTATTTGTTATATGCATATTTATATTTGTTTTAATAAAAGGAAGCTAAGATTTGTCCACCTGTCGGGTTTTGGAGATGCCTACATCACCATATGGGGCATAAAAATAGGACGTATGTTTGGATATAACTCTGTTTTTTGACCACACTTCATTATTATTGTTCATTTATTCAATTTCTGGAAATTAGAACCGAATTTAGAAATAGTTTTGAAACAAATCTTTGAGCATTACAAACAAAGTTAAATATGTAGGCTAATGGGTGTCTTCAGTGGAGTGAGTACAACACCGTTTTCTTATTCACAAAAGTAAAGGAGTAAAGTAAAGAGTAAAAGTAAAGAGAAAGTAGAGGCCAAATGGAGGTGGCTCATTCTTTATCCTCGTGCTGCAGTTGGTCTGTTCAACCGTTTTCTCACTAGTGAAGCCTTCAGGTTTTCCTCTAACAAACTCTGCCACATAACTAGCACACGCGCCACGGCGTGAAGCAACTGACTCTTAAAGAGAATAGGAGATGAGACTTTTTATTGGTTTAATGCACGTTTTGCTCAAAAACCACCCATAACTCAATGCTGTTAGACCATGCGCCGGGGCGCAAACCATATTTTTCCGTCCTTAAAATAGCAAAAGTGGATTCAGACATGTTTTTGTGCCATACACTTTAGACTTTGCACCTAAATAGTTAAAATAGAGCCCTTTAACATAAAGATAAAGATTTAATTATAATAATATATGACATTGTTACTATTTTCAATGTATTTATTTTTATGAAATAACAGATGCTTTAGTAAGCATAAGAGACTTCCAAAAACATAAAAAAATTTCACCAACCCCAACTTTTCAATAGTAGTGTGTTTGTGTGTGTGTGTGTGTGTGTGTGTGTGTGTGTGTGTATGTGTGTGCGTATTGTCTCTGATTGTCATCTTGTGATTACTACTCATCTTATTTTTGTGAAGATATTGATGCAATGCATTCTGGGACTGATTTATTTGTCACATGCAATGCAATGCACTAGTAATCCGACCAAATATGGCATAAAAGCAGGCAGCACGAGATCTCTAATAGTTTGCCGATGATGCTATAAAATGCTTTACGAACAAGCAAATGTATTACACAGCATGAGTAAAAATGAGTTTGCATCAAGTGACAGCGTAGTTAACATTAGCAAAACACTATTAGTCTGAAAAACACAAAAGCTCTGAAAGGATTCCCAGTGTGTGCGTGTGTGTGTGTGTTATTGTACCTGGAGAATGAGTTATCGAAGATGAGTGTGTAGACTCCAGCGTTGCGCACTTTGAGTTGTCCCTGTATGGTCTCTTTGTGTGAGTTACAGCGCGTGAGGGGAATCAGAACCTGAACAACAGACACACACACACACACAAGCAGATTTGGATTTTTTATCTGTCATGTTTAGGGAGAGAGATGCTCCCACACGTTGTAAAAGAGGATAAATCTGGGATGCTGCCACACTGACGACATTTAATAATACAAGCTAACTCAACATCTGGTAATATCTGGGATGTTTGTCAAGGCATGAAGTAATTAGAAGTGGTTGATTGTTATTCAACATTTAAATTAAAATCAATCAATGTTTTGGAAGATACTTTGAAAGTAGCAACAAGCTGTCAGGAGGGCTAGAAGTGTTTTTGATGATAGATAAAGCTATATTTATATAGCTGGGAAAAAAGTATTGAACACATCACCATTTTTCCAGTAAACACCTTTTCTGAAGGTGTTGTTGACTTGAAATGTTCACCGGATGTTGGTAACAACCAAAGAAATCCATATATGCAAACAAAACAAATCGAATTAGTTTACAAATGAAGTTATGTGTATTAAAATGAAGTGATACAGGGGAAAATTATTGAACACACGAAGAAAGGAAGGTGTAGAAAGGCAGTGAAAGCCCAGACAGTAGCTGAAATCTCTCAGTAGTATTTCAGCATCCCTCTGCCCTTCGTCAGTGTAAATGAATATCAGCTGCTTCGGTCCAACTTTTACATTAGCAGGAGGAGGAAGATGAAACCAGGGTGGACATTTCAGTAAGACAATGATCCAAAACACAGCCAAGGAAACTCTCAAATGCTTTCAGAAAAAGAAAATCAAGCTGTAGAATGGCCCAGCCAATCACCTGACCTCAATCCAATAGAAAATACATATACACCTTGGGTAATTTTTGGGATTTAAGTAGTGTTAAATCTTTATGAAAAAATCATCAAAGATATGTTATGTTTAAAAAAAGTTAATCAAATATGCACATACAAAAGAACACAACTATTTTATAGACACTAAAAATATAATATGGAAAACAAACAATAGATTAGAAACTCAAATATAATAGTTTTAAAAACACTTGAGAACTTGAGACTTGAGAATTCTCACTTTTACAAATATTATTATTGTTCCGTAAAGGTCTGATCACATTCCTTTCAAATTTTAAATAAAAAAACTAAAAAGCCTTTTTCTCCATAAAATGTTCAGAATAAAAAGCATGTTCAGCTGTTGTGATGGAATTTGTTATTCAACTAAGTACAGATTTTGAAAAACTGTATTAAGTTAAAACATTAATATTGTTTTGTTTTAAGATAAATATATACATGACACCTTTTTGTTGTTTTATGCAGAAAAGTGTATAAAGTCAACATTTTTATTATTAGATTTTACAAAATAAAACAAAAATACAAAAGCATCAGAAATTTCAAGTGATTTAAACTTGTTTATTTTTATTTTTTATAGTATTTTTTTATATCATTTTGGGTCCCTTATGTGCATTTTTTCAGTCCAATGTTTATTTTTGCTCATTTATGTATCACTCTTGAAAACTGAAAATGTAACAAAAATATAATAGTATTTTAATATATTCCAATTATCATTATTTGCGTATTGACTTTTATTTGTGGAAAAGCAGGACATTTTCATTAAAATAAAATAAAAATTACAACATTACATACAAAGAGGCAGTTGTTACCTCTGTGTTGACTCGAGATTAATTGAATACCTTTTTTTTTGTTATTATATGCTAAAAAAGGTATAAATGACAACATTTATAATTCAAAATTCAAAGAAATATCATCAGCAGTTTATAAAATTAAACAAAAATACATTTAACTCAAAAACTTCAGAATTTTCAAGTGGTCTCAAATGATTATAATTTTTTTTTTTTTTTACATTTTAGGTACCTTCGGATCTCATTTTGACGTCTCTTTTCACAGTTGACTTTTTATTCATTCATTTTCCTTCGGCTTAGTCCCTGGTTATCAGGGAAACACCCATACACACTCGCATTCACACCCACACTCATACACTAATTTAGTTTCTCCAATTCACCTATGGCACATGTCTTTGGACTGTGGGGGAAAACGGAGCACCTAGAGGAAACACACACAAACACGGGGAGAACATGCAAACTCCACACAGAAATGCCAACTGACTCAGCTGGGACTCAAACCAGCAACCTTCTTGCTGTGAGGCGGCAGTGCCATCGTGCTGCCATCGACTTTTTATTTTTTGCTCATTTATTTACTACTCTCCATCACTGAAAATGGGGCAACTCTAAACACTACCATTTTCAATGCTGAGACGTAACAAAAAATATACATATTATATCATTTAAATATTCTAATTGCCATTATTTACTCTGACTTTTATTTGTGGATATGCAGGACATTTTCAATAAAAAGTAGAAAGATGACAGAATTACCTACAAAGAGAGACAGCTATTACCTCTAATGACACTCTATGGTCGTTCAACAGCAGAAATGTATTGGTTTCACATAACAAGGCCACAGTTTATGTGCATAAATAAGTGTGCTTGTTGTCCATAACTACCTTCGCACAGTAGTATTGAGGCCAGACATGTTAAAGTGAGTGGGCCTTGGTGAAATATAGTGATACTCAATGGCTACTCTCAAACTAAAGAATCAACATTTTACAATTCACAAACAGGAATGAAAATTCTGAATGCTTAAACAGTATAACACACACTGAACTGAGCTAAACTGAACTCAAATACGAAAAAAACTTAACTTCACTGTTCCAATTTACTATGACCATTTATGTAAAGCTGCTTTGACACAATCTGCATTGTAAAAGCGCCATAAAAATAAAGGTGAATTGATTTGAATATAAACACATTTTTTACGGTTCATGGTTACATTCAGTATGGGGGTGTGCGAAAGATCTGCAACATCAACAGCCTTCAGCAGGATAGCGCTCCTTCTCATACTTCAAACCTCCACATCAAAGTTACTGAGCAAACAAGGTCAAGGTGCTCCAGGGTTTCCAGCCTAGTCATCAGACATGAACATTATTGAGCATTAATGAGCTGGGGTGAGATGGAGGAGGAGGCATTTAAGATGAACCTAAGAATCGTGATGAACTCTGGGAGTCCCGCAAGAACGCTTTCTTTGCCATTCCAGATGACTTTATTAATAAGTGATTTGAGTCATTGCAGAGATGTATGGATGCAGTCCTCCAAGCTCATGATGGAGTCAGACACAATATTCATTCTGTTTCCACTGCAGCATGACTTTATATTCTATACTGGACATTATTCTGTTAAGTGACAAGACTTTTGTCTAAGTAAAGTCAGACCTTACTGTACTAATGAAATAATTCAAAATCAAGGCATGATCATATTTTATTTTGGTAAATAAGTTTAATCTAGAGGCCTTTACCTTTTATATAAACCACTTCTGATACCGAATGATCAACTTAAAGGTTTCATTTTGTATTTCACATTTTCTGTTATTTTACAGACTTATTTCTTTATATATTATTCAGTGTCTCCCACAGGTTTGAAATATAGTCACGGTGGTAGCCGGATTGAAACACACCTTTTACCCACAGCACATAAATGGTTGACTACACGCGGCAAAAAAAACAATAATGTGATTTTTAACTATATTTCTATTTTTTATGACACTGTTAAACACTGTTGCTTTTCAATGGGTTAAATTATTAAAAAATCAAATAATTTATTTAATAGAAATAAACGTTTTTACTTTCTTTTATGCTATTTAGGAGCTATGTGCGCCCACTGACAGGTAAAGGCTGCTCTCTCTCTCTCTTTCTCTCTTTTCTCACATTTTAGGCGCTTTATTGGCATGACAAATAACTGTATATTTGAATTGCCAAAGCAGTGCAGCGTTGCTGCGTACAGACAAGACAGTGCAAAAAGGGCAGTAGTGCAAAGAAATATGAACATAAAATATAGTATAGAAATAAAGAAAAGAAAATTAGATTCATAAAAATAGATTATTTAGATAGAGAAATAGAAATAAAATAGAGATATAGAATATCTCTCTCTCTCTCTCTTCAAGTTGCCTTATTGGCATAACATTCAGTACTACCAAAGCACTTCAAGTATGTAGTATATTAAAATCATCAAATAATAATAATAAAAAATATATATACAGTAAGACATAAATGAAAAAACAAACAAAGAAACAAACAGATAATATATTTGATAAATATAACAATTCTAATAATAAAAAGTCTAGATTATTTAAATAAGATACATGAATTTACATGAACCATTTCTTATGGTGTGTAGGGTGTATACATATTTTGCAGCTAGTCTGTACGTCAATTCTCTCTCTCTCTCTCTCTCTCTCTCTCTCTCTCTCTCTCTCTCTCTCTCTCTCAATTAAATTCAATAATTGCTTTATTGGCATAACAATTGTTACAAATGTATTGCCAAAGCAGTTATAAAGTTTACATAAAAAGTAACATACATATTCAATTAAAAAAACAGTACACACAGTAAATAGTAGTAGTAAAAATGATATGATGATAGATGATATTTATATATAATAATTAAATAAAATATCAACAATACATCATATTATTCAATATGTCACATCAATATTCAATATATTACACACACTCTCTCTCTCTCTCTCTCTCTCTCTCTCTCTCTCTTAAGTTGCTTCATTGGCATGACACAGTATTGCCAAAGCAATTTAAAAATGTAAAGTATGTAATATATTAACATCATTAAATTATTAAAATATAGTGCAAATGAGAAATAAATAAAAGAAAAAAGGGAATAAAAATAGATATTATTGCTAAAAATTATAATAGTTACTAGAATAAAAAAGTATAGATTATATAAATAAGGCAAATAAGTTGATTAGACATTTCTAATGGTGGACAAATATTTAGCAGCCAGTTTTTTTTTTCTCTCTCTGAGTCATTTGTCAATGATAAATTATGTTTCTCTTGCTGCTGTGAGTACAGTCAGCTGTGAAAAGGGAATGCAAAAATGCATACAAATAGTAGCAATTTTAGAAAGCGAATCCCGGACATTTTAAGAGATTCAGAAACTGCGGTCAAATGCATTCTAGCACAAAAGATGCATCTCTGTGTGTCTGCAGAGCACGTGACTGTGGGAGTGTTGACAGTTTTCGAGCGCACACAGAACCAGCAGAAGGAAATGTGCAGAGCAAGAGAAGATGTTCCACTGGTTAATCGATCGCAAATGTTTGGCTTTTTTGGACGAACATAAAAATAAGTGTAAAATAGCAAAATAAGTAAAGCAAGTAAAGTTTATGTGCACTGTTATTAGTTCTTATACAATACAATATTTTAAACTACTAAAATATCAATAAAAGTCACTTGGTTAAACTGTAGAGTTGAACTTTTTAACATCAAAAGTCAACAGAGCAGAGATCAACATCCCATAATGCAATTCACAACCATAAATAAACAAAACATATGGTATTTTTTTACAATGTAGTGTCAATTGTACATTAAAATAAAGTGTGACCAATAGCATTTCTCACAATGCACCCAAATACAGAAATGTGTGTGTTGTCAGACTGATTCCTTTCATAGTTTAATAGGGATTTTTTTTATCTGCATGTGTTTTCTTCAGCTGCGGGGGGTTGAGGTCTCTCGGGCATGGCAATAATTGATTCTGGCTAAAAGGGAAAAGGTCAAACATGATCTGAAAATAAATGTCTAAACTGAAAATGAACAAAAACACTATCAGGACACAACAAGCAGCCGACCAAGCTATAGCAAATGCATTTAAACAGATTACACAAGATCACATTTTGATTTATAGCTTCACCAAACATTAACGTAAAGTGATATACTATAGAGATTAGTATAAGATTTACTCATTTAGATCAAACAAGCACAGCATAAGAGCGTAAATCTTGTGATCATCCTCAGGGGGGCAGAGTGAAATCTAATTAAGATAGATTTTAATTATGATACATTGTTAAGAAGTTCAAACTAAAGAAACTGCCTGAATTATGAGAGTAATAGTCATACTACTTGGGGCGGCATAGTGGCTACACAGCAAGAAGGTCACTGGTTTGAGTCCCAGCTGGCCCAGTTTTTGTGTGGAGTTTGCATGTTCTCCCCGTGTTGGTGTGGGTTTCCTCAGGGTGCTCTAGTTTGCCCCACAGTCCAAACACATGCACTTCAGGTGAACTGAATAAGCTAAAATTGGCCATCGTGTATAAGTGTGTTTGTGTATGGATGTTTCCCTGTTCTGGGTTGCGGTAGGAAGGGCACCCGCTGTGTAAAACATATGCTGGAATAGTTTGGTTCATTCCGCTGTGGTGACCACTGAAATAGAGACTAAGTCGAAAGGAAAATGAACGAATGACTTGTTAAGACACACTCAACACCCTCTGAATGTCTTGCATGTGTGTGTTTGTTACCTTGGCCTGCTCGACAGGTGTGTCAAGTGTCTCTCTGTACACCACAGTGAAGGAGATGCTCTTTGGCTCGGAGGAGAAAACCCAGCTGATGATGGGTCCGCGGTCGCCCACTGTGATGGGAATGGTGCTGTAACAACTGGACTTGACAAACAGCTCACGGGAGCCATCGCCGAAATGAGGAATCTCATCTATATCCAGAGGCACAGAGGCACTGCAGAAACACACGCACAGATTCAGAGGAAACAATAATAGTGGAGCGTAATCAGTGTGTGTGTGTGTGTGAATAATAACTTTCATTTTTCAGATTTTGATTGTAATGCAATAATGTTCGCCTTTTGTAAAGCTGCTTTCTAACAAAATTGATTGTGAAAAGCGCTATACAAATAAACTTGGATTAAATTGAATTGTTTTGTGTCTGCACTTACTAACCTGAGCTCTCCTGACTTGAGGAGGGTGATTTCTGCATCCTGTACTGAAATCATGTCTTCCTGTTCTTCAGACGTCACGTCACTTGATACGCTACTGTAAAAGACAATAGGCACATTGTTATGTCCTTTTAGATGTTAATAATAAACTAAGAGTATTTTGACATAACATATAATAGTTTAGGGCAGCACTGTGGAGCAGTGGGTAGTACAATCGCCTTACACCAAGAAGGTCACTAGTTCGAGTCTCAGCTGGATAATTTGGCATTTCTGTGTGGAGTTTGCATGTTCTCCTCTAGTTGGCATGGGTTTCCCCCACAAGTCCAAAGACATGTGGTACTGGTGTTCTGGGTAGGCTAAATTGTGCGTAGTGTATGAGTGTGAATGAGTGTGTGTGGGTGATTTCCAGTGATGGGTTGCAGCTGGAATGGCATCCGTTGCATTAAACATATGCGTTGTGTAAACCACAGGCACATGTCGGTACAACTATAAAAGAAGATGCTTCAATCCCGGTTTGTGCGTTAAATCAGGTTTATTTTAATACAATGGATACTCGTACAGCAGTGGAAATTAAGTTTAGTTAAATGTGCACATTGTGTTTGTGCGTGAACTTCGTAATGACATTGTGTGTGACTCATCATTGCAGAAAGGCTTGAATTAACTCCACAACAAATACATCAAATAATCATTGGGAAAGTTCTTACTGTAGTTTTTCTCACAAATGTTATGCGAGATCTGCTTCCTTCATGTCTGTCACTGTGCTGTTTATCTGATGCAGCGGGACATGGAGACACACGTGAGAGCCTTATGGAGTGATCTCTGTTGCTCTGACAGGCATGTGGGAACGGTGTGTGGGGAGAACTAGCTCATTTGCATTAAAAGCACAGGCAACAAAACAGCTACAATGTGCTCAGAGCAGAAAATTCCAATATTCTGAAAGGTTTAATAAATAATCTAATGGGTGCTTTGAGCTGAAACTTTACAGACACATTCTGGAGACACAAAAGCATTGTTTTAAATCTTGAAAAAGGGTGCCCTAACATTAACTAATGTTAACAAAGTTAAATAAATACTGTAATAAATGTATTACTAATCGTTTGTCTGGTCAGTAAATACATTACCTTATGGACCATTATTTTGAAGTGAACCATATTATTTTTTATTTGAATGTTATTTTTGGTTATTGTTATTTTGTTTTTAACATTTCTATTATTATTAGTTATTACTTTAAAGTAAAATTAACAAATCAAATCAAAATAAGAAATATATACATGCATTCACACATACAGTCAGCAAGTTGAGCACCCACCAGACACACTAGAAGGCACTCTACACATCACATCTGCCACTGAACCAGACTACATATCCCAACATGGTTCCAGTTCACCATTGATTACAAACACACAGCTGAAGCTCATGAGGACTGATTACCATGACTATAAATACACCTCACTCACATACACACTTTGCTGAGTTTTGTTAAACTTTTGGGTGCATCACGAAGTGTTATCCTTGCCTTGCCTTGTCGTGTTTTGCCCTTTGCCTTGTTTTTTGTTGAACTAACACAGTTTCATGGACTGACACAATTCTTCTGTTAAGCTGCTTTGACAATCTACATTGTAAAAGCGTTTTAGAAATAAAGATGAACTGAATTGAATTTGTTCATGTTGTTTTGCCGCCTGTCCTTACCATTTGTCTGTTTTTTAGACGCTTTTGGATTACCTTAAAGCTCCTGTTTGCTCCTGTTACGACCTTTGCCTGCCAGACGATTTACTTTAATAAAGCTGCATTTGGATCCTCACCTCTTTTATTAACCTGACTCATTACACAGACACAAACACCATATAAATATAAATAAATACATATATAAATATGCACAGCGTGTGTGTGTGTGTGTGTGTGTGTGTGTGTGTGTGTGTTAAAATTCAAGTTTTTCCATGTAACAAAAACACAATTTTTTTTTGCCTAGGTTAACAATAATAAAGCTAGTCTGAAGCAAAAAAAAAAAAACTGTGAAAGTTAGTGTACTTTTCATCGTTTTTGTCTGAACTGTCAATTTAACCGCCATTGATTTTCACAATAATATTTCATTGTCCTACCAAAACCTACTGTGACTGTCAGAACTCAAAGCTTTTCAATTAAAACAACTAAGCTGAACAAAATGACTCACACTGAACTTGAAAGCTCTATTATTTATAACAGCATAGGCAAATACTGTACATCTGAACACATGCATTTCAACATTTTCAGTGCTGCTAAAACGTTTAGACTAAGATGTTTTAATGTCTTTAAGCTGTGTATATTTGATCATGTTTTGAAACACAAATATTTAAAAAAGCTTTACAGTAAAAACAAGAATATTGTAAAATATTATAACCATTTAAAATTTTTCTATTTGACTGAAATGCAAAATGTAATTTATTTTTATAATGAGAAAGTGGACGTTTTAGCATCATTACATCAGTCTTAAGTGCTTAGAAAGCATTTTGTTATTCAGTAACATTTATTATCATTATTGTAAACAGTGAAACTTTATTAGATGTTTTTTTGGGGTGGATAAAATGTGGATGAAATATTTTGTATCATTATACATTTTTTTCTGACACAAACCTCTGAAAAACAGTGTACCTGCATGTGTGTTACTTCTGGCTGTGTGCATTTGTGTTTTTGTGTGTGTTTCTAACAGTTTTCATAGCACATTTCACATTTGATTATTATATAAATCTCTCACAGAGTAACACAGATTTGCAGAGGGACTCTTTTCAAGGGATAGAGGAGTCAAAATCTTGAGTTGATCTGACAGCAAAGAATCATTATTCATTTGACATGTGAAAATGATGTATGAATAGAGCACAAAAGTAAAAAAAAGAATGATTATCATTAGGGCTGCACGATACTAGGAAGGAAAATATGTGATGGTTTTGTTAAATATTGCAATAATGTTATTTATTACGACAACATTTGCCAAAAATTGCTATTTTATTAACTTTGTTTTCATTTATTTCATTGGCTTATCATTGTAAGCAAAATAATCTTGTTTTTCGATTTGTGATAAGATTATTTTGCTCACCCTATTGGCAGATTTTTTTAGCGTGATTTAAGGAAAAACTCACTTCATTTTGGCATATTTCTTAAAACAAGACAATATGTTTTGCTTGTCTAGAAAAGTCTTCTTGATTTAAAGGGTCACGAAACACCAAAACACCTTTTTTGAGTTGTTGACAGTCGTATATGGGTTCCCACACGGCTAAAAACACTATTAGGACACCTATATTTCACTAAAAAGTGTAAATTGGTTGTTTTTCGTTATTTCAAGCAAATTCGTTCTTCCGGTTTGAAACGAATTTTTGAAGCTGCGTCACGGTCATGACATAATAGCGTGTATTCCAGCGTGCAGACTGGACGTCTGTGCCAGAGTGTGTCTTATTACGTCTTACAGTGTGATGCATTAATGCATGAGTAAGGCTTGGTTCAAACCAATCAGCGCGCTCTATTGTGCATCTTCATTAATATTACTCGACATGTAAGTTATTGTTGTCGAGCATCGCGTACACTGTAAATCCACACGTGACTCCAGCTGAGCTCTCACAGAGAGAAAATGAAAACGAAACTTAACTGCAGCAAACAATAAAATCAACACTTCATGCTTGTTTTGCCAACACAACGTGGTGTGTCTGTCGTCTAAATACTGTGACAGTAATGAATATTAATGAAGTTGCACAATAGAGCGCGCTGATTGGTTTTAACCAAGTCTTACTCATGCATTAATGCATCACACTGTAAGACGTAATAAGACACACTCTGGCACAGACGTCCAGTCTGCACGCTGGAATACACGCTATTATGTCATGATCGTGACGCAGCTTCAAAAATTTGTTTCAAACCGGAAGTACTAATTTGCTTGAAATAACGCAAAATCAACCAATTTACACTTTTTAGTGAAATATAGGTGTCCTAATAGTGCTTTTAGCAGTGTGGGACACATATACGACTGTCAACAGCTCAAAAAATGAGTTTTGGTGTTTCGTGACCCTTTAAGAATTTTTAGATATTTGGACTATAAACAAGACAAAAAAATCTAAGTAAGAAAAGCATTTTTTGCAGTGTAGTGGTCTAACACCAGTAAGTTACTGTGGATTCTACAGGAAATTGTTAACAGTGTATTTAAGATGCATGCTTATTATAACGTGCTTAGCACAAAAGACAGACAACTAACATCCCATAGGAATGATGGTAAAAAAAAATCTATCTAAAATGAAATGTTTTTTCCATCTAAATTCCCTTGCATTCCTAGTGGAGTGCGTCTAATTACGGCTAACCTCCCTCACCTAGCGGAGATTTGATCTTTTGAGGATCCTGCAAAATTATACGGCAGGCAGGTGCTCATCTCAGAGTGAAAAATGTTGGGAAATGCACGCAAGATGGCATGAAATGCATAAATTGACAGTCATCTTCCCCCCACAATCAGCCTCTCCGCAGGACTTCCTGTCTGTCTGTAACACTTATTTGTGGAGGATTCACATCCCAATTTGTCTAAACAGAGACCCAGAGATGAAGCCTGAAGGATCTCTATATCACTGCGACAAATTGGACCATTCAGAGTGTGATTGTGGGAACGTGTGGACATTTTTGCACGTTCTTTGTCTCGAGTAACTTGGCTTGTGCGTAATTTATATAAGCATGAACAATACAAGTTTATTTGTATAACGCTTTTCACAATGATTGTTTCATAGCAGCTTTACAAAAGGTGTACATTATTGCTTCACAAACAAGTTCTGAATTGTTATGGATACTACTTACCATAGCTTTATTAGTTACTAGTAACTTTAACTAATTACCTAGTTACTAGTAACTTTAACTAATTACCTAGTAACTAATAGCTTTTAACAGTTAAAGTTATTATACACAAACATAGTTAACCAATAGGTAATAATTGTGGTTCTGAGTGCACTTAAAGGATCATCATGATACCTTAAAAGGCCATGAAACCCCCTTGTTTCAGCAGGGTTTTTTCACACCTCTACTTTGGAAAAAGTCAGGAAAGTGGGCGTGTCCAGCTCTATTAAGGGAGGAGTGTTGGAGGAGGAGAAAAAGGAA